CGTGGGTTGCCGACACCCGGCTTAGACACAAGTAACAATTCTAGATGTTCCCTATAATATACCAGATCTTCAGGTTTTGAGTTCAGGTTCACTTTAATATCACAGAAATAACTTTGTGTTGGGAGTCCCCACTGGCTGGCCAGAAATGTTTATCCCAGTCTGATTTTAAATCCATATGTGCCAATCATTTGATCTTTCATGGGGTCTATTTTTATACAGGATTTGATGTAAGATTTTACCCAAACATTGCCCAAAATTCACTGGTCCACATTCTCTCAATTTATAAAGTGCAGTTGTTCCTTGTACAATCTCATCTGATAAAAATACATTCAGCCATATCTGTTCTTACAAGGGAAATGTACAGGTTTTAGAACAAATATTCAGGATTAGAATTTCTAAAGTTAGTTGTTTTTGTTTTGTTTTAATTCTTTAAATTATAGAAAAAAAAGCATGCCCCTCAAGGCAGGTGGCATATAATCCCTTCTTGCCAGAACCCCTCTTGGGCACAAAAGGGATGTCTATAATGCATTCTCCCACGACACTATTGCTGGTAGCAATATAGTGGGAAGTTGCATGCTTGCTGCCCTTTTCCATAGTGATACCAACTGGCATGCCAGGATAGTTCTTTCTTGGCGATGGGAAGATACTGAAAACTCTGGTCACCAAAGTCACCTGCTTGCTTAAAAAGCTGTTTTAGCATTCTGTGGTTGACCATAATTACCTGGTGCACATTTGGAGTTTTCAGCATCAAAACATAAATCTTCCAGCTATCAGACATCCAGCTGTCAACCAGCTCTCCTGGCTATCAAAATTCATAGTCCCCACACAAACCCACCACTTTGTCTTAGTGAGCTTTCAGACCCGCAAAATGCCCACCTGGGCTGCACAGGCTCCTTCCTAATGACACACAGATTTACAATACCACTTAGGCAATGGCCTGGTCAGATCTGGCTACATCTCCTTGAGGCCAGGGTAAACACTTTCCTAATGTCTCTCTCCACATAGATACACTGCTCCTGTGGCAGCTTTGCAGGGGAAAGGAGCCCTGAATTACAGACAGCCCCTTGATTTAATAGGGCTGTGCGCACCTGCACCTTCAAGTTGCTGGTCTCCAAAATGTGGACACAGAGTTAGAGGCTTCATCCCTCCCAAGACCCTTCAAAACCTCTGGACTCCAGACCCCAGTACAGGATATGGTGATTTTTAGGCCGTGTATACAAGGCTTTAGGTTGGTCTATCTTGAAGTGGAATTGAAGACATTTTTATTAAGCATGCAGGCAGGCTATTTATTGCAGAAGAGACATGCAATGTATCTTCTGAATGCTTGCAGCATTCTGGGGCATATAAACTGAGCTCGTGGGGAGAAGATGCCGGCGAGGGACACCTTATATAGACTTTGGACCAGTAGGTATACTGACTCCAGTGCCGCTTTAAACGAGGAATAGAGCCAGGCACAGAATATGCAGGAGGCTGAAAGACATTTGTGTTCATTGCTATGCTAAAAAAAAACTGTGCTGGCCGAACACTGTGTTACTTTGACTTTTGGATCAACAACAGTAGGCAAAAAACTCTGAAATGCATTCTGCAGAGTGGACTGGCACATCAACCTGCAAATCATTTATAAACAGACCCCTAATTCTATAACATTTTCTATTACTAATGTCAAGACACTTTAGACAGAATTGCCCATATTTTATCATACAAATAGGTCAAAATACATAGGTCAAAACACACCTACATATGAAAATCACATTTTAAACCAGTTTGTTACCTTTTACTTCTTCTTGTGGATTGCTGTCCAGTGAGTCATGTTCTCTAGCATAGACCAAAGCAACTTGAGATGAGAGCCATTTGTTACAGGGAAATACATATTTTGATTTTCCTTTCAATATAGAAATGTTTATGCAATAGCACCTACAATCTGATAGAACATACATATGTATTAAAAGCTTATCTTCTGTAGGTAGAAAGTATATACAGCATTGTAGTTGGTGGTTTTATATGGTTTTAAGCAATCATCCACATGACACAGCTGACTTCCTTCTAAAACTTCTAGTAGTCTTGTTGTCTGTGGCTTCAATACTGTCTGACTCATTGACAGGAAACAAGCAAGCAGCAAGTGAAGTCAGGATGAAACCAGAGCACTAACTCCAAAAGTATTGAAGCTACTGGACAAGTATGGCAGTTGGGCAAAAGCTATTTTCAGAAGGAAGTAAGCATACTTCTGTCAGAACATGTTTATTTTATTTAATTATTTTAGTCATAGAGCTAGAAAAATTAGAGGTACACACCTTGTTTTTTATCATTAACTCCCAGCATGATTTGCTTCAATTCTCCAACATCATTTGCTTTAACAAAGGAAGAAACAACCTTCAAAACAAATTAAATTATGGTGAAATTATGTATAATTATGTAATATGACATCCTCTCTTGGCTACACTGTCATCATGTCAAAGTAAAATGGAGATTACCAATGCACACATCCTGCAGCATCACTAATCACCTTTAGGGATCATGCACATAAATCCTGGAATATGGGTGTACAGCACAAAAATACACCTGTATTTGCAGGGCTGGGAGACCCAACTGGTGTGTAATTATGCCATGGGACTGTATTGACAGAATGCACTGTATGCTGGCATATGCCTGTCAACACCAGTACTAGCGTTTACATGGGTGTATGGACATACAGTAATTTCTCAAAGGTGAAAGTTTTGCGTTGCAGAAATTATCCCTTCAGTCTCCGCCCGTATCGCCCACCTACTGAATGACATATCAGACTGGATGTCGCTCCATTTCCTCAAATTAAACCTTTCCAAAACCGGGCTCCTAATTTTCCCCCCAGCCTGCGCCCCCCCCCCCCCATCCTCTCCATCACAACCAACAACGCCACCATCAGTCCCACCCCGCAAGCCAAAGTCCTAGGTGTCACTCTAGACTCAAACCTGTCCTTCCAACCCCATGTCCAATCGTTGGCAAACTCATGCAGACTCCGCAACATCTCCAAAATACATACGTTCCTAACCCCAGACACTACTAAACAACTTGTTCGCTCCCTTATTATCTTACGCCTGGGCTACTGCAACTCCCTTTTCACTGGCCTACCCCAACACAGGCTATCCCTGCTTCATTGTATCCTGAACTCAGCGGCCAGGACTCATCCACCTTACCAACCGCTCCGCTTCTGCCACCCCCCTCTGTCATTCCCTCCACTGGCTTCCGATTGCCCAACGCATTAAATTCAAAATACTAACACTGACATACAAAGCCATTCAGAACGCTGCCCCAAACTACCTCACCGACCTGATATCCAAATACCACCCAACCCGTACTCTTCGCTCCTCACAAGACCTCCTACTTTCCAGCTCCCTGATCTCCTCCTCCCACGCCCGACTGCAGGACTTCTCCAGGACTTCCCCCATCCTCTGGAACTCACTACCCCAATGCATCAGACTGTCACCTACCCTCCTCACTTTTAGGCCCACCCTGAAAACCCATCTCTTCAGGGATGCCTACCCCACCCTCACTTAACAGCCGATCTCCTCCACTCCTCCTTCCACTCCATCCCCCACAGCCACGTCCTCCTGTACCACTATCCCCTCCCTCCTAGATTGCAAGCTCGAAAGAGCAGGGCCCTCGAACCCCTCGTGTATTGTTTTGTTACTGTATTGTCTCATGTTCTGTCCCCCACTATAATGTACAGCGCTGAGCAAACCTTTTGGCGCTATATAAATACTGTATAATAATAAAAATAATTATGCCAAGACGCATGCACTTGTGAATGCAAATAATGTTGTTTACCCGTTTATAATGGTGTTTACCCGTGTATACTCGTGTACAGAGTAATCTGTCAATACAGTTTTATGGGCAGATTTACATAACGGCTGGGGCTCCCAGGCACCACAAACACAGGTGTATTTCATGCTGTACACCCATATGCCTGTATTTATATCTGTATGCATGAGCCCTTAGTAGAGATAATGGTAGCTTTAGTCTTCCTGGGGCGTCAATAGCCTCAATGTCCAAGAGTGTCTCCTTTTCCAAAACTCCTGTGATATGGCACTGATTATAGACTAACAATTATACAGAAACAGGAAAATCCATTTCTTACCTGTCCAATACTAGAGGCAGTACTGCTATGCAAAGTGTTTTGGAGGAAAAGTGTTTTTGACTTTCCATGGTCACCAATAAATCTCATAAACAGGGAAGGACTGGCTTCTTTTGGAGAAATGGCTCCTATATGGACAATAATTTCATAATCTATATTCTTACTCTTTTCTGTCACCTGTGGTAACACAAATGTGAGTGAATTTATTGGTTATGCAACACACATTTATTTCTGCGTACTATAATACCAGCATTGAGCAAAAATGTATTAAATAATGTATTATTATTTGTGTATTTCCTACAGACAAAACGCACTTCTTGCTCACATCAATAGGAAGACAATAGAAGTTTATGTCCTATAGGCTTGTGCTATGTAACCTCTCTTACCAATTACATTGAAAGTGACTCTGTGAGCATATAAAAAAAAAAAGCAGGTGGTCTCTAGAATCCTTCCTCTTGCTGGAAGCCATGGTTCCTCTCCACTGACTGCAATGTCACTACAGGATACTGGAACTCTTCAAAAGTGTGAAACTTCTACAGACCAACCACTAGAAAGGCGCTTTTAATGAGTTGGTACCAGATTATTTTTTAAGATGCTGAGAGGTTCGCTTTAAACTTCCAAGGCAGGTTTGAATCTGTATGGCAGCTGTAACAAATGTCTTAGTACATTAATTTTTTAAGCATCAGGCTTTGTGTGCATGTGTTAGAGAGGCAGCAAGGAGCATATTCCACCATAACCAACATGCCCTTTCCAGGATAATTATTTTACATATCAAAGAGAGTAGGGAGGACTGGTGCACTTAAGCACAGTTTGGATAGAAAATGAACTGTTCAGCCATTAAACATTCTTTCCTGAATGAATTTCAAAGTTTCCATTCCAATTTAGCTAAAGTACCTTTGAAGAGCACTCAGGTATAGTATGAAGCTTTGTTGAACCAAAATCCTCATTTTCTACAAATTGGGTGTGACACTCCTTATTCAGAGTTGATGACTCTTTGCTGGAAGGAGGCTCCTGCCTGCAGGTTGGTATCTTAACACCTGAAGATTGCCCTTTGACTGCTTTCACACCATCATCCACCATAAAAAAAAACAAAACATTAGTTTAATATATACATATTTATGTATTTCACATCCTGATGTTCCTATAGTATAAATTACCTTTGTGTTGATGAAGATGTGTGGTAAAGGACAGCCTGGAGTCTATAAAAAAGGAGAGCCAAAAAAACACAACAGTTGGAAAATATACCACAATTTGTAGCTGCATGTCTGTATATTATATCTTCATTCCACAATTCATCACCAAGCTATCATCTGAAAAAGTAACCTACACTCTTTAAAAGGTCTCTCTATCAAGTATGCTCTTATAATACAGATTCGTTATCCAGACATTTGGCTAGGTTTAACCAAGCTGTTAAAGTGACCCTGTGGCAATACAAAAGTATAAAAGGCATACCTGTATGAAGACATTAAACACAGTATTTATCTTTCCAGTTACTTGCGCTGAGGAATGCTGCTCGGGTCCCGAGAAATCTTCTGCTGATATCTGCAGGAAAATCGGCACCTCTGGTAGAGTTAATCTGCTAGGTCCTCTGCAGTGTTTACTGGTTCCTCCTTCTGACCTCAACCTCATTGGAAGTTTGCATAAGAAACCAGTAAGAGCTGCAGGGGACCTAGGAGAGCAACACTAAGAAATGTCAATTTTCCTGTGGCCTTCAGCAGAATATTTCTAGGGATCAGAGCAATTGGTAATGTAGAGAGCAAGAAGAGTGAGAATTTACTGTCCTTTACAGGCATGCCTTGCTTATTGTAATATTCTATAGTGGCAGGGTCACTTTAAGACCAGAATTTGTCTTTGTTGTCGAGACCAATTTTAAAAGCTGAATCAGAAAGGATTTTATGGGTGAAACAAATTGAAAAAACTGAACAGCTTTGTGTAACTTCTGGATTGAGCGAGAAGGAGTTAGCAAGTATGGATTTTTTTTAATGCTGCTCAATTCACCACTGAAGAGAGACAATAGGAAGTGGAGTCGAATAAGTCCAAAAAAGATACAGCATAAAAAAAACTGTTCTGTAAAACCTGAAAAAAGTTCTTACCCTTTCCCTATTCCATCCAGAACAAAGAAAGTAGAGCATAAATTTGCACTTTAATCCAAAAATTCTACATCTATGCTGCTTGAAGTCATATAAAACACTTGGGATTAAACCCGTAAGCACTTTCAGCAGCTGATTTACTTACTAGGTATGCAGCTTTTTATCTTTTAGTCCTTGCCTATGCTCCTGTTTAAGCTGGTGCTATGACCACTGCCCCAGGCTTCCTTTTCAGGGTGGCTCACTGGCTCCTTTCTCTTGCAGCATCCTATGGAATCACCTCGCATGCAAAGACTAATGCCCTTTCTTTCTACACTGTTTGCATCGGCCCTGTAATCTATTATGGCAAGTCAGTCTCTTGCTACCTTTCACATCTGAAGCTAACAGACTGGGGATATGGCACTGTCCACTGATAACTCTTTCCAGGGAAGACCAGAAATTCAGGGAAGCAGCACTTAGCAGGAGCAAACAGCATTGTAAACTGCAAGTCCTGTGGTAAGATTTTGCAAATAGTTTACTGGGGAATGTTTATGTTATTGTTCTCAGTGTGTTAATGTAGTATTAAACCCTCAGAGGTTTTTAGTTTAACACATTGGGTTTTAATATCACTTTATGCTAAAAAATGCTAAGAGGTTATGTGACGGAGCGTAGGCAGGACAGAACACACAGAGTAGATGGCAAACGCACAAAGCTTTATTGAGACACACAGATGACAGTCATTCAGCAAGGGAATCGCAGGGAGGGGGGAATTTGCCAGTAAAGGGTGGCAAGGAGGGGCCAGTCACTTATAGTCCAGCACTGAGAGCCAAGGAAGCGTCTTTGTAGCAGTTGTAATCCGACAAGGGGGGGGGGGGTCAGTATGGCACAGTTCAGGTAAAACAGGGGGGAAGCATGTACTCACAGATCCAACAGGGTGCCTGGTCTCCCAGGGGTGAAAGCGGAACACAGGTACCTGGTGGAGTCAGGATCATGCGGGTGGTCTCCCCGTTTGGGCTGAGTTCTCAGGCAACTGGCAGGCAATCTCTGGCAACCTCTACCCTATGCTGGGGGGTCTCTGGCAATCCTTCCCTGGACTGGGGGTCTCTGGCACTGGCAGGCAATCTCTGGCAAATGCTGGGGGGGTCTCTGGCAATCCTTCCCCTGGACCAGGGGTCACTGGCACTGGCAGGCAATCTCCGGTAATCTCTCCCCTATGCTGGGGGGTCTCTGGCACTCCCTCCCCTGGACTGGGGTCTCTGGCGCTGGCAGGAAATTGTTGGCAGGCTCTCCCCTATGCTGGGGGGTCTCTGGCAATCCTTCCCTGGACTGGGGGTCTCTGGTACTGGCAGGCAATCTCTGGCAACCTTGGGTGCGGGTCCCCGTGTGGCTGGGGGGCTTGCAGAGTCCAGTCACGAAGGTCCCGCCGCAGCTGGGCTCCTTCGGTGACTGCTCTGACAGAAGACCAGAGCACCCGGCATCAGCTCCTTAAGCTGATGTCAGACGCTCCCTGGTCGTCTAGGTAACCCGGGCGGGCCTGAGCTGGCGTGCCTCGTTGCCCGGCAATGAGGCACGCCCCCTGGACAGGGACCGCGCCTCTCGTGAGCGCGGCCTTTGTCCAGGGCCATTTGCAAGCGTGGGAACTTCCAGTGGCCGCGCTTTGGATGACAGGGCTGAGATGGCGTCAGCGAGACACCATAGCCTGGAACATCCCTGCGGGAGGTTCACACTTCTCTGCGGAGAGGTGTGAACCTCGCCACCTTCTCCTCTCCAGTCGCGGCTGGAGGGGGAGAAGATAGGGCAGGGGTGGTGAAAGTCACACCTCTCATCCCACTGCAGCAGGATGAGAGGTGGAGGGGGGGACACTAGACCCCAGGGATGAATTGAGCTGGTGACAGGGGACACAATGATGGTAAGGATGACACCAGACCCCCCGGGGATATCAGAGGGGCCGGTGTCAGGAATTATGGAGGGCAACTTGGGGACATACAGCAAGCTGGCAACAAGCTGTCCGGGAGGGGGGAAGCCACAACAATTGAATTTGGCCATTTGGGAGAGTGACACGGAGGACATACAGAGAGAGAATCTGAGGGACGTTTGGTACAGGGAATTAGTATGGGGATTAAATTAAATCAATAACTGGCAGGGGCCCCTATACCATGACAGGTTAATACTATTTTAAGCTAGTTCTTTCCCCATCATACACTATTTAATCAAAGCTTCCTTTCCCCAGCAATTAATATCATATATATGGGCAGAAAATGGCAAATAAATAAAATGCTGTTTTCTTCACGGTATAAAAACACAACATATTTAGTTATAGTAATCTGAGTTCCACATACAGTGGCTACAATAAGATCTGCAGCCGAAGCAACAAGTCTTTTAAACTCTCCATGTGAAATGTCGGGTGGACGGTTATAAATGAGGTTTGATGAAATATCTTCCAGGTCACTGAAAAAAAAAAACAAAATACTTTTGCTTCATTTGAAGTGGCAACATTTCTTTGCAAATTACATATGGAGAATAGATACTTATAGCACTGACTGAGATGATAATCCTAAAACCTGAAACCCAGGCAATGTGGGGAAATAAAAATTATTTTAGACCTACTGTGCATCCTTACGCATATGCAGTCTCTCCTATTCTCTGTAAAAATTGCTTCTAGGTGTCATAGAGAAATGGTAGACACGCTGAATGCTATATCAGTTTAACAATTCTATTCATGTCTGTAGACAACTAAAAAGAGACTCCCTATGGTACACTGTCTCAAGTAGCTTAGCAGCTTTTTAATCTCTATGGTAAACTCAGAGCAAGAGCTCAGGAAAAGGGGAGAGAAGGGTGCCTGACTTGAACAGTTTGTGCTCGTTAAAGCATAATTACTCCACACTGGCTGCAGCTATGGAGGTAAGTAAGAGCTTGTTTAAAAACTTTCTCTTAAAATGCACTAATCCTTTTTTGCCCCTTTGCCCTGACCTAACCTAACCCACCCTCCACAGATGCATACCTACCAAGATCCAACAGCCACAGCCTCTTTTATTTACATTCAGTGCTTAAAGTCTAACTCTCCTAGCTGCACCTGCAAATTACAGCTCAATTGGCTCCCTTCATCTCCAGCCTTGGGACAGTTCTATGGCTAAGTCTATGGGGTTGTAATGCATAACCACAGTCAAGAGATTGAGACTTACGGCACTAGATGTAAACAAACAACAGAGGCCACGGCTGTCGGATTAAGGTAAGTATGCATCTGTGGAGGAGTAGGGTGGGTTAGGTTAGGTCAGGGCAAAATGGAGACGTTCACTTTGTCTTCTGGTGCACTTATTCTTTAAAGCTCCTCTGTTTGAGACTCATGGACAGTTAACTGGCCTGGAATCCTTTTAACAAAAAGTGTTGGGTCCATGATTTTACAAAATCAAGTGCAGAAGTGGTGGAAATATTTTATGCAGAGTTTGAATTTATTTGGTAGACATTGAAGCTTTGCTAGCTGTTAGGTCACTACTGTCATCTTGCCTTTGTGTCCTACTATACTAGCAGACAGGGAAGAGTTTGATGTTTGCCACTACTATGAGTTTGAGATAAATTCTGCTGGTTTGAAATTCATGGTATCTGCAAATTTTTGTGCAAATTCTCCTGAGAAATTGTTTTTAAAACCAAAATACATGGCATGTCCTTTGAACCATGACCAGCAGGCTTGGAAGGGCCAATAAGGGGGCTTTTGGAAAAGCCAGTCCTCTCACTATAAAAGGGCAGTTAAGCCCTTTGCTGCCTTTTTTTACTCTAATTATTGGAGTCTTTTTTGTCTTTAATTATATTTTGCAGTTGCTATGAGGTCAGTGGTCACTACTAACTGCTGCCCTGACCTTGTTTATGCTGCTGCAAGGCTTCTCTTTTAAAAATGTGTGTGTGGGGAGGTATATTTGGGAGTATATTATTTATGCTGATATGGCCTTTTTTTAAGCTTGGGGTGTTCACAGTGCAGCATTCACTTGTTATTGATCATCTGTTCTTGGAGCTGCCCCTTGTTGGCAACGAAAAAAACTAAGTGCAAGAACAGTGTGCACCTAAACCGCCTCACATTATAATGTATCACTCACATTTATGGCAATGCTTATCCCCATATAACGATAAAAGTTAGGCATACACAAGGTATGCCTATTATTCCTGATTAAAATTGTCCTGTTACTGTCATGCTACTGTCCCATTTTACACTTCTGAAATATCTGTGTTATTCTCAATTCTTCCAGTAAAGCCCCACCCTGTACCTTTTGTCTCTAGTAAATTTAGGCCTAGCCTATTGTTTTACTGCAGCACATTTTTCACTACAGACGCATTAATTTTCTCTCAATAAAAGTGTCCTGCTGCTAGCCAATTTTAAATTGCTGTATCATCTGGGGTCTCTTAATTAGTTTGAGACTTTTGAGAGAGTTTGAAAGAAACTGAACAGTGGCAGGGCAATTTTGCATCAATGAGCACAAGGACAGTCTCAGCTGAACTACTGGTCAATTTCTATCTGCAAAAGGGGGCTTATATTACTGCTTGATGAAAAAAGCAAAACTGCTAAAACGTGCTGCTAAAACTAAGGTTTCATTAAGTGAGTACTAAAGGGCACTGTGAGAACAAAGAAGCACCGTAAGTACTGTAAGCACTGTGAGTATTGAGGGGCACTGTGGTTGAGTCCAAGCTGGGAATAATGCTCTGTTGGACCTACTAGGTATAATCAACACATAGCCGATTGCAGATATGGAAGTAAGGGATGTGTGTGGCAGAGGGAGGGGGGAGATTTGATTGAAGATACATGGCCACACAATGCAGTTAGACAAGAAACAGTTCAATCCTAAACTGCGTAAGGGGTTCTTAACTGTTGGATGTGGAGCACCCTTCTACAGTTGGTGGTGTCACAGTTGGTGGTGTCAGAGGGGATTGTAGTTAAATTAAAAAAACTTTTAGATGTGTTTCTTGGGGAACAAAATGTACAGGGATATGGAGAATGGTAGTGACATAAACACACACGCATTAAACTGGATTAACTGGCGTGTTTATTCGACCTTACCAACTATGCCACTATGTACCTGAAAAGAGCCTTTTTTCAAACTGAAAAGAATCCAATTAAGGAGTTGCTGCTGTATGTAAGCCAAGTTATTTGTAAAAGAAAATATAAATTTCAAAGGCAAATTGCTCTACCAGTATATACTATTGCCAAAAATGTCCTTGAAAATTGAATTGCTCTGTAAAACCATGTAGAACTCTTTGAAGCCCTATAAAAAGACCTTGTTCATACAGTTAGGTATGTCCCTGGTGGCAGTGTATAGCTTTCTTCATTTTTTTTAAACAGAAGTTTGTCTACTACCCCTAAAAATGACTAACCCCTTGACAAAGATTTGCTCCTCCCCACTAGCAGACATATGAAAGAAGAAATGTCATGATGAGAGGAATTTGTTACCATGATTTTGGGTTTATGCTGCTCGGGTAGACACAATTATCTAAAAAGCGGTCCTGCAAATAAACAAGAGATATAAGATACACATTAAATAAGGCAAGAATTCACAATCGACATGAAAAACTAACAAAGAAACAACCACTCTGAGCAATACCAGATATCAAGATAATTAAACCACCAAAGGTAATTGCTAGCCATAGCTTTTTGAACTGTTATATAAGAAGCCCAACAGTGCCAATAATACCACTTTTTAGATCGTTCTATCAAGCTTTACAATAATCTCCACACAGGGAGTTCAGTATATAATTATATCTGTGGACATCATGAAAGCACTATTATGCAGGCAGTGATCAATGTCAAAGTAATTCTGTTTTATACTGCCTGAAGCATGCAAGACCCATTTGTGAAGGTCTGATGTTAGAAAAAGATCTGAATGCTGAACCATCTACATTATGTTTTGGACTTATGACATGGTTCAGGGCTAGGCAACTTCTGATATATTGGAAAATATATAGCTTACAATACACTTACAGGCATGGTTAAAGCTGACATATTCTTTTTTATTTTTCTTTGCACGTGGATCCTTTTCTCTTGTTTTCTTTCCATTTTGTCATTTTTATCTGGTTCAGACTTTCCTATGTAATGCCGAAGGGCAGCTTCCATCTGCTTATCCAAAAAATTATTCTTGATTCTTTGACTTTGATGTAGCGTATAGTTACCTGCCTGCTGAATATCACAAGAAAATTCTGTTGGTTCTTAAACAGTAAACAAATACCTTTTGTGCAAAGTGATGGTTTGTGCATGTTATGAGGGGTACTTGAATCTCCCTTTTCTACCATGATGCAGCACTTGTCATGTAAACAGCTAATCACTAAGCCCAGGCAGTGTCATATGGAGAGCAGGGGAAGCAGATCTGATTGCAGCTTATACTGGGCTTTTTTGTGCATATAAATATTTAAACTTGTTTCTTGGTCCTGCATAGGCAAAGAGCAGGTGTAAGAAAATTATCATTAATAAACATGCATATTAATGAATAATATACAGTTGTGCCAATAGTTTGCATACTCTGGCAGAAATCTTGAAATGTTGGCATTTATACTGAAAATATGACTGGTCATGTAAAAAAATGTCTTTTATTTAAGGATAGGGATCATATAAAGCCATTTATTATCACATAGTTGTTTGGCTCCTTTTAAATTATAATAACAGAAATCACCCCAATGGCCCTGATCAAAAGTTTACATACCCTGGAATGCATGGCCTTGCTACAGACACACAAGGTGACACACACAGGTTAAAATGGCAATTAAAGTTTATTTCCCATATCTGTGGCTTTTTAAATTGCAATTAGTGTCTGTGTATAAATAGTCAATGAGTTTGTTAGTTCTCACATGGATGCACAGAGTAGGCTAGGTACTGAGCCATGGGGAACAGAAAAGAACTGTCAAAAGACCTGCATAACAAGGTAATAGAACTTTATAAAGATGTAAAAGGATATATAAAGATATCCAAATCCTTGAATATACCAGTTAGTGCTGTTCAATCACTTACTAAGAAAGTGGAAAGTTTGGGGATCTCATGATACCAAGTCAGGTTAGGTAGACCACGGTCAAGTAGACCAAGAAAGATTATAGCCACATCTGCCAGAAGAATGGTTCGGGATACATAGAAAAACCCACAGGTAACCTCAAGAGAAATACAGGCTGCACTAGAAAAAGACAGTGTGGTTGTTTCAAGGAGCGCAATACAATGATACTTGAACAAAAATGAGCTGCATAGTCGAGTTGCCAGAAAGAAGCCTTTACTACGCCAGTGCCACAAAGAAGCCTGGTGAGGCATGTCCAGGTGTTGTCGGGCATATTGTAACTAGGCTTTTTTGTGGCATTGGACATTATACTAGACCAGGGCTTAAAATTTCAAGTCCTGAGCTACTAGCCAGGCCTTAGAGTTACTCGCCACCAACAAACACACACAAACAGAGACACCTATACACACACACAGAAACATATACACCCACGCACAGAGACACATGTACATACACACATACAGACACATGTATACACACACAGGCACGTACAGACACGCATACACACAGATACATGTACAGTGGGGATCGAAAGTTTGGGCACCCCAGCTAAAAATTTGTATTAATGTGCATAAAGAAGCCAAGGAAAGATGGAAAAATCTCCAAAAGGCATCAAATTACAGATTAGACATTCTTATAATATGTCAACAAAAGTTAGATTTTATTTCCATCATTTACACTTTCAAAATAACAGAAAACAAAAAAATGGCGTCTGCAAAAGTTTGGGCACCTGCAGAATTTATAGCATGCACTGCCCCCTTTGCAAAGCTGAGACCTGCCAGTGTCATAGATTGTTCTCAATCATCGTCTGGGAAGACCAGGTGATGTCAAGCTCAAAGGTTTTAAATGCCCAGACTCATATGACCTTGCCCCAACAATCAGCACCATGGGTTCTTCTAAGCAGTTGTCTAGAAAACTGAAACTGAAAATAGTTGACGCTCACAAAGCTGGAGAAGGCTATAAGAAGATAGCAAAGCGTTTTCAGATGTCAATATCCTCTGTTCGGAATGTAATTAAGAAATGGCAGTCATCAGGAACAGTGGAAGTTAAAGCAAGATCTGGAAGACCAAGAAAAATATCAGACAGAACAGCTCGCAGGATTGTGAGAAAAACAATTCAAAACCTACGTTTGACTGCACGATCCCTCCAGAAAGATCTGGCAGACACTGGAGTTGTAGTACACTATTCCACTATAAAGAGATACTTGTACAAATATGGTCTTCATGGAAGAGTCATCAGAAGAAAACCTCTTCTACATCCTCACCACAAAAATCATTGTTTGAACTTTACAAATGAACATATAGACAAGCCTGATGCATTTTGGAAACAAGTTCTGTGGACCGATGAGGTTAAAATTGAACTTTTTGGCCGGAATGAGCAAAGGTACGTTTGGAGAAGAAGGGGCACAGAATTTAATGAAAAGAACCTCTGTCCAACTGTTAAGCATGGAGTTGGATCAATCATGCTTTGGGGTTGTGTTGCAGCCAGTGGCACAGGGAACATCTCACGAGTAGAAGGAAAAATGGATTCAATAAAATTTCAGCAAATTTTGGATGGTAACTTGATGCCATCTGTGAAAAAGCTGAAGTTAAAGAGAGGATGGCTTCTACAAATGGATAATGATCCTAAACACACCTCGAAATCCACGGGGGATTACATCAAGAGGCGTAAACTGAAGGTTTTGCCATGGCCTTCACAATTTCCTGACCTCAACATAATTGAAAATCTATGGATAGACCTTAAAAGAGCAGTGCGTGACAGACAGCCCAGAAATCTCAAAGAACTGGAAGACTTTTGTAAGGAAGAATGGGCAAAGATACCTCAAACAAGAATTGAAAGACTCTTGGCTGGCTACAAAAAGCATTTACAAGCTGTGATACTTGCCAAAGGGGGCAGTACAAGATATTAACTCTGCAGGGTGCCCAAACTTTTGCAGATGCCATTTTTTGTTTTCTGTTATTTTGAAAGTGTAAATGATGGAAATAAAATCTAACTTTTGTTGACATATTATAAGAATGTCTAATCTGTAATTTGATGCCTTTTGGAGATTTTTCCATCTTTCCTTGGCTTCTTTATGCACATTAATACAAATTTTTAGCTGGGGTGCCCAAACTTTTGATCCCCACTGTACATACACAGAAATACATATCTTCCCTTTCTCTCGCTGTCTCTCTTCCCTCTTTTTCCTCTCTCTCTCTCTTCCCCTTCTCTTTCTCTTCCTTCCTCACATCGTATGGGGCTGCACACAAACACCTTCTCCAAGGGCTGCTGATCTCCGGGCAGCAGGAAGGGGGGGGGGAGTTTGCAGCCCCATACGATCCATCAGTGTAGGGAGGGAGGCAGGGAGATCCCACAGAACACAGCACAGCTCACCTGGCCCGGGCTTATTCCTCTGGTCCCGGCTCATCAGCTGCTGGAGGGAGAGGTACAGGAGCATCACTCTGCAACTGCCCTCCCCCCAAATCGATTCTCCTGCTGTCCGGGCCACTACAAGGGTACCGGTGCGACCCCTCTGCTGGTGACCCTGCATGGCTCTGTCCGCTGCTGCCCAAAAGGTCCCTTCTTCAGGGGAGCGGTGCTGCCCCCCTAAAAATTGCCGCCTTGCCTCGTGGTAAATATGCCCATGCCCTGGGGGACACACTCGCCCCCACCATAATTTCCACTCGCCATTGGTGAGCAGGCGAGTGGAAATGTAAAGCCCTGTACTAGACAACGGTCTGGGATAGAGGTTGAAGGGAATCTGCAGCCACTTGTTACAAACAAAATTAAGTGGCAGGGAAGTGTCATTTACGAGCAATTTAAATGGCATTTTTTTCATTGTGATTGTCAGTTTGCTTTGTACAGGGTACAGATACATTTCATTAACAGGTTAGGGGCATCCCCCAAGCATGTTATGAGAAGGATGAAGTGCAGTTTTAATGTTTCCCTGGCAGTGCCTAGCCTAGAAATGGGTAAAATTAATTTGCAGGATTTGTCCACCATCTATACCCTGTTTCCAAATTATTATGCAAATTCTATTTAAGTGTCACAAAGATTAAATATTTTGTTTTTCAGTTTAACTCATGGATGGCATTGTGTCTCAGGTCTCTTTTGATCACTGAAAACAATCTCGGACACCTGTGATAATTAGATTGGCAGGCGAGCCCAATTTAAGGAAAAACTACTAAAGGAGGGTGTTCCACATTATTAAGCAGAGCACCATTTTCAAGCAATAAAGGGAAGAAAAAGGATCTCTCTGCTGCCGAAAAGAGTGAAATAGTTCAATGCCTTTGACGAGGTATAAAACATTAGATATTTCACGAAAACGTAAGCGTGATCATCGCACTATTAAGAGATTTGTGCTGATTCAGAGCACAGATGGGTTTTGTGCAGATAAAGGCACATTGAGGAAGATTTCTGCCAGAACCATGCATCGGATCAAGTGAGCAGCTTCTAAAATACCATTACATAGTAGCAAACAGATATTTGAAGCTGCTGATGCCTCTGGAGTCCCACGGACATCAAGGTGTAGAGTCCTCCAGAGTCTTGCAACTGTGCATAAACCTTCTATTCGGCCACCACTAACCAATGCTCACAAGCAGAAATGACTGCATTGGGCAGAAAAATACATGAAGACTAATTTTCAAACAGTCCTGTTCACTGATGAGTGCCGTGCAACCCTGGATGGTACAGATGGATGGAGTAGTGGATGGTTGGTGGACAGCCACCCTGTTTCAACAAGGCTGCGACGTCAGCAAGGCAGTGGTGGAGTCATGTTTTGGACCTGAATCATGGGAACAAAGCTGGTCGGCCCCTTTAGGGTCCCCGAAGGTGTAAAGATGACCTCTGCAAAGTATGTGGAGTTTATGACTGACCACTTTCTTCCCTGGTACAGAAGGAAGAACTATGCTTTCCATAATAAAATCATCTCATGCTGCAAAGAATACCTCTGCATCAATGGCTGTTATGGGGATAAAAGGAGAGAAAGTCATGGTGTGGCCTCCATCCTCCCCTGACCTAAATCCTATTGAGAACCTTTGGAGCATCCTCAAGCAAAAGATCTATGAGGGTGGGAGGCAGTTTACATCCAAACAGAAGCTCTGAGAGGCTATACTGACATCTTGCAAACAAATTCAAGCAGAAACTGTCCAAAAACTCACAAGTTCAATGGATGCAAGACTTGTGAAGCTTCTATCAAATAAGGGGTCCTATGTTAAAATGTAACGTGACCTGTTAAAATGTTTAAAAAGTTAAAATGTTGTTAAAAGTTTGATTGAAATAGCTTTTTTTTTTCAGTAAAATATGCTGCAAACACAACAAATGACAATTTTCAGTTCTTTACAGCCTATAAAATGTTTTGAAACTTACTGTGCGTAATAATTTGGAACAATACATTGTAAGTTTTTTATGTTTAAAATAAATACTGTTATCATTAGGAGGTTTGTTCAATAAAATTTGAATTGTACTCTTAATAGTTGATAACATGAGAATTATGCTGACTGTTATTTACATAAATTATTACATGAGAAAAATATCATCTGCATAATAATTTGGAACATGGTGTAGTTTAATGGGGGTTTGAGGAACATTTACAATTTCTAATCATTTTTAACTGCTTGCAATCCTCCTCGAGTTGAACCCAGGTACAATCAGCTCATCACTAATGATAATGGAGGAACTGTAACTTTGTTCCACTATTGTCTCATACACATACAGTGGGGCAAAAAAGTATTTAGTCAGCCACCAATTGTGCAAGTTCTCCCACTTAAAAAGATGAGAGAGGCCTGTAATTGGCATCATAGGTAGACCTCAACTATGAGAGACAAAATGAAAAAAAAAAATCCAGACAATCACATTGGCTGATTTGGAAAGAATTTATTTGCAAATTATGGTGGAAAATAAGTATTTGGTCAATATCAAAAGTTCATCTCAATACTTTGTTATATATCCTTTGTTGGCAATGACAGAGGTCAAATGTTTCCTGTAAGTCTTCACAAGGTTGGCACACACTGTTGCTGGTATGTTGGCCCATTCCTCCATGCAGATCTCCTCTAGAGCAGTGATGTTTTGGGGCTGTCGCTGGGTAACACGGACTTTCAACTCCCTCCAAAGGTTTTCTATGGTTTTGAGATCTGGAGACTATAACAAAAAATGTTGAAGCGCTATGAAAAATGCAACAAATCAGTGTATATACAAACAAATATAGGTGAATAAATATACATTAATAAGCAATAATTAAAACGTGAGACTCCAATCTTTTAAATAATATAGAGTGACATGTGCTTAAAACAGCAACACACTGTGCAAAAACAAGTGCCTGGTCTGCCAATAAATATAAACACACCAGGTTAAATGAAATATATACCCAAGATAGATATACATACAGTAAAAAATATTACCGTGAGACTCCAATCCTTGAAATAATACAAAGTGACCCGTGCTTAAAAACAGCAAACACACTATGTAAAAAATGCCTGGTCTGCTAAACAATATGTATACACACCAGGTAGAGTGAAATATATACCAAAAATTAGATATCCATTATTAATATATCAAGTGATAGGTGCAACAACACAAATAGAAAAAACAAAAAACGACAATTGAATAAAATCGTTCAGTGTAAACATCGATAGTGACCAGTCCAACAAAAGGTGCTTCAATCTTCAGTGTACACTATAAGTGCTCTCAGTGACACTCTTTGTGACTTATCCCATGGATATCTAATTTTTGGTATATATTTCACTCTACCTGGTGTGTATACATATTGTTTAGCAGACAAGGCATTTTTTACACAGTGTGTTGCTGTTTTTAAGCACGGGTCACTTTGTATTATTTCAAGGATTGGAGTCTCACATTAATATTATTTATGTATATATATCTATTTTGGGTATATATTTCATTTAACCTGGTGTGTTTATATTTTTATTGGCAGACCAGGCACTTGTTTTTGCACATCGGAGTCTCACGTTTTAATTATTGCTTATTAATGTATATTTATTCACCTATATTTGTGTGTATGTACACTGATTTGTTGCATTTGCATAGTGCTTCACCATTTTTTGTTATAATTTACACATCCTGAGGTATAGGGAATAGGTGACAGCAGCTGGCTATTTATTAGGTCATTTCATAATTGAGCGCAGGAGGATATTTCAATTGGCTAGGCCACTCCAGGACCTTGAAATGCTTCTTACGAAGCCACTCCTTCATTGCCCAGGCGGTATGTTTGGGATCATTGTCATGTTGGAAGACCCAGCCACGTTTCATCTTCAATGCCCTTGCTGATGGAAGGAGGTTTGCATTCAAAATTCACAATACATGGCCCCATTCATTCTGTCCTGTACATGGATCAGTCGTCCTGGTCCCTTTGCGGAGAAACAGCCCCAAAGCATGATGTTGCTACCCCCATGCTTAACAGTAGGTATGGTGTTCTTTGGATGCAACTCAGCATTCTCTCTCCTCCAAACACCACGAGTTGTGTTTCTACCAAACAGTTCTATTTTGGTTTCATCTGACCATATGACATTCTTCCAATCCTCTTCTGGATCATCCAAATGCTCTCTAGCAAACTTCAGACGGGCCCGGACTCGTACTGGCTTAAGCAGGGAGACACGTCTGGCACTGCAGGATCTGAGTCCCTGGCGATGTAGTGTGTTACTGATGGTAGCCTTTGTTACGTTGGTCCCAGCTCTCTGCAGGTCATTCACTAGGTCCCCCCGTGTGGTCCTGGGATTTTTGCTCACCGTTCTTGTGATCATTTTGACCCCACGGGGTGAGATCTTGCGTGGAGCCCCAGATCGAGGGAGATTATCAGTGGTCTTGTATGTCTTCCATTTTCTAATTATTGCTCCCACAGTTGATTTGTTCACACCAAGCTGCTTGCCTATTGCAGATTCAGTCTTCCCAGCCTGGTGCAGGTCTACAATTTTGTTTCTGGTGTCCTTTGACAGCTCTTTGGTCTTCACTATAGTGGAGTTTGGAGTGTGACTGTTTGAGGTTGTGGACAGGTGTCTTTTATACTGATAACAAGTTCAAACAGGTGCCATTGATACAGGTAATGAGTGCAGGACAGAGGAGCCTCTTGAAGAAGTTACAGGTCCGTGAGAGCCAGAAATCTTGCTTGTTTGTAGGTGACCAAATACTTATTTTCCACCATAATTTGCAAATAAATTCTTTCCAAATCAGCCAATGTGATTGTCTGGATTTTTTTTTCTCATTTTGTCTCTCATAGTTGAGGTCTACCTATGATGCCAATTACAGGCCTCTCTCATCTTTTTAAGTGGGAGAACTTGCACAATTGGTGGCTGACTAAATAATTTTTTGCCCCACTGTATAATGAACTACTTATATAATATAAACTAGTATAATAATATATATAATAAATATTATTGATAACATTTGTCTATTGAATCATCTACACAGGTTCACTTTATGCCAGAGATATTTGATACTAAATTAAGAACATTACTAAATTTAACATAATTGCTATAATGATTCAATTTCAAATATTCTAGTACAAATGTAATTGAAGCCCATTGTTTTTTTTTACTTACTTCATACAGTCTATATTTTTCATTTGTATCTTTTGAATGTAAAGATAAATCAAAACCAACTTCTTTTCTTTCTATGTCAACATAATACTTTCTGTAATAAAAAAAAAAAAACTGTAAGCAGTCTTGAGGTGCTAAAATACCAGGATAGTACAAACACCCTCAAATGACCCCTTTTTGGAAATTAGACACCCTAAGCTATCTGCTGTGAGGCATATTGAGTCCATGTAAGATTTATTTTTTTTCCACAAGTTTCTGGAAAAATACAAAAACATTTTTTTTAAGTTGTCATTTAAATGATTTCTTTCTCGCACAAGCCATGGGTATATGTGGAATTACACCCCAAAATACATTCTACTACTTCTACCGACTATGCGGATACCACATGTGTGAGACTTTTTGGGAGCCTAGCTACATACAGGAGCCTGAAATCCAATGACCACTTTGAAAGCCTGAAGGTGCGTAACTTCCTCATTTCACTTCCTCAATACCTATCACAGTTTCGAAGGCCCTGACATACCAGGATAGCACCAACCCCCCCCCCCCCCAAATGACCCCTTTCTGGAAAGAAGACACCCCAATGAATTTAAAAAGAGGCATGGTGAGTATTTTGCAGATCTCATTTTTTCTCACAAGGTTTTGAAAAATAAAAAAAACAATAGAAAAAATATGTTTTTGGTTTTTTTCTTCATTTTCCAAAAACTTGTGGCAACAACTGAGATCTGCAAAATACTTACCATGCTTCTAAACAAATTCCTTGGGGTGTCTACTTTCCAAAAAGGGGTCATTTGGAGGGGGTTTGGTGCTATCCTGGCATTTCAGGGCCTCCGAAACTGTGATAGGTAGTCTGGAAGTGTAATGAGGAAATAAAGTCCTTTAAAAGCCTGAAGGTGCTTATTGGATTTTGGGGTCCTGTACTTGGCTAGACTGCCAAAACATCACTCACATGTGGTACCCCCATACTTGGGAAAGTAGCAGAATGTATTTTGGGGAGTGATTCCACATATACCCATGGCATGTGTGAGCAGTAAATCATTTAAGTGACAATTTTGTGTAAAAAAACAAAACAAAAACATTTTTGTCATTTTTCCAAAAACTTGTAGTAAAAAAATAAATTCTTCTATTGATTCAACATGCCTCTCAGCAAATAGTTTGGGGTGTCTACTTTCCAAAAAGGGGTCGTTTTGGGGGGTGGGGGCATTTTATAACCAGCATTAGACGTTTATGCCACACATCATTCACTCTTCTAACCACCTGACGATCAAGCCTTTTCTGACACTTTTTGTTCACATGAAAAAAATCAGTATTTTTTGCTAGGAAATTAATTTAAACCCCCAAACATTATATATTTTTTTTAAAGCAGACACCCTAGTGAATACAATGGTGGGTACTACAATTTTTTATGGGACATAGTACTCGCGCAGTGATTTTTCAAAAGCAATTTTTTAAAAAAAATACCTTTTTTTACTTTGAATGCACAAAAACACAATATATTGGCCAATTATTTGGTAAGATATAAAAGATGATGGTAAATAGATACCAAACATAACATGTTTTAAAACTGGGCATGCCCCGTGCAATATCAACAAACTGCAACACTTTAAAAGCTACCATTTTAGATTTACAAGGAGGTCTAGTGTTAGAATTACTGCCCTTGATCTGACGTTATGGTGATACCTCATGTATGGTGCAACTGCTGTTTACATACCAGCACAGGGTCAACGCTTGTGCACACAGGTGTGTGCGCATGGGAGGGGCAAGTTTTTTTTTTTTAAGTTATTTTGATTTTTTTTTTATATTTTTTCACTGTACCTTTCATTTTTTTTTTTTTTATCACTTTTAATGCTATCACAGGGAATGCAAATATCCCCTATAACTTCAATGGGCATTATCATATATTCTTTTTTGAGAAATCTGGGGTCTATCAGGCTCTAGATATCTCCTCTGCCCTTACATTATCTAATCAAACCAAAATCAGTGTGATCAGATGCTTTCCCAATTTACAAATGGCGCTGTTTATACCCTGTGAAACTGAAGTGATTTTCGCCGGCTAAAAAAAACGATACCAGGATGATGCCTGCAGCTGTAGGCATCATCCTGGTATAACCATTCAAAGTCCAGTGATGTACCAGTACCGTGGAGAGCAGCGAGGGAGGGGGCATCATATCCGTGTTGCTTGTAAAAGTACGTCGCTGGTCCTTGTTGGGTATATATGCTATGTTCTTTTTTTTTTTGTATGCAGCCTGTGGACTGAATGTAAAAAAAGAGAAGAAATCTCTGCCAGAAAAAGTGTGTGGTATGCCCACCATTAGAATATACCACCCTGCATTCACCCACTTCTAATGGTGGGCACCCATTAGGTCACACTTTGCCACATGTGCCATTTCCAAGATTGTACAGATGTCTAAATAGTGGCACACTTGAATAAAAATTGTCCACGTATAAGTGGTACCCCATATGGAAAAAGGATGACACCAAGTCCCAAACTATCTTGCCACTGCTCCCCATGTAGTCTCTCCGGGGGGGCTTCACGTGACTATCTTTCCCCTTGTAAACCTGAAACCTATAAGTATAGCCTGTTGCCCTCTCACAGGTCTTCTACATCTTGACCCCATATCTGGCACGCTTGCTGGGGAGAAATTGTTTGAATGCAAGGCGGACAGAAAAATTAATCAGGGACTCATCAACGCAGATGTTTTGCTGGGGAGTATAGACATCTGCAAATTTTTGGTTAAGGGGATTTGAGAGGGGTTAAATTTTGTGGAGCCGGTCAAATTCAGGGTCACCTCGAGGACGACAGAGTGTATTGTCGTTGAAATGCATAAAACACATTATACTCTCATATCTAGTGGGTTAGGCCCACAAAAAAAATGCAAATTCAGAAACTGTAATGAGTTTCCATGCGACTGATCTGGCAAGGTTTGAATTTGGGTTGGCGGCGATAAATTGTTGTGCATATAAATTGCTTTGGTCCACAATCAACACATATAGATATTCCGTGAAAAACAGCTCCAAAAATCAAGGGGAGTAGTTAAATTTGCTATTTCCACCTGAATTCCGGGTTTGGCAGTGAATGGGGGAAGTATGGGTGCTGAAGAATTTGTGGGCTGTCAATCAGGATTTGCAAGCACATCCAGAAGGATACTAGAAGCTGTATGGGCCTGTGTGCGAATTCTTGGTGGCTGCGGGACAATACTTGTGCTCGCCCCCGCACCGGCTTGTACTGGAGTTATGGGACTCGCCACATCACCAACTCATACTGCAGTGCTGGTATTATTATTATTATACAGGATTTATATAGTGCCAACAGTTTGCTCAGCGCTTTACAGTATAATGGGAGACAATACATCAACAATACAGTTCAATACAAGAGGGTTAGGAGGGCCCTGATCTTGGGAGCTTGCAATCTAAGAGGTATGTGAAAGACCAAGATGTACTAGACTGCTGGTACTCGCCAGTTCACCAAAAGGTAGCATGGCACTAGTACTGGCACTCTGCTGCATATGAGAGTCATCAAAATTTACCGGCAAGTGCTAACAGAGATCAGGCCGGGACCCGGTGATTGACACCCGCGACCCACGATCGGCGGCATGGGTATGGGTAGGGTGGTCCCTAATTGTTTTGCAATATCACATTTTAAAACGTGATTTTGCCCAGCGGTGCCACCTTGTGGCCGTTTTTCCCCAGTGGCTGGACGGCAAGCAGTTAAAAGGCCAGTTAACCCAAAATTGATATATTATATTTAGGCGTATGATGACATGTTAATCCACTCAGTTGTAAATTTCACAACTTCAGTAGCAGCTGAATTCTAAGATCTGTTGGAGTGATTCTTCTCCCCAACATCCAACTATAACTGAAATAAGAAATAATAAAAAAGTGATTAGGAGATGGGATTACCAAATAACTTCATTCATATTGAAAAATTAGTTCATTTTATTTTCATCCTAGGCAGGTACCTGTTAAAGAACAGCCACCCAGATCACTTTTACTCAACAGATGGTCATTGGCTGATACCAAGCACATGGCTGCAGCTTGTTTTATGCACCATTTATAAATGGCCTTTGGACAGCAAATCTGCTAGTAGACTTGAAACAAGCTTGAAGTAAAACTGAAGTTTTCTAGCAACCTGTTTAAAGTGACAGCTCGTATTCCCATTAAGATCCATGTTTAACCTCTCCATACTGGAGATGTATATATTACTCTTATACAAGCTGAAGCCTCTGTAAACAAAGCCTTTCATTTTTTTTAACTAAAATCTCTGCTGTTAGTTTCAAACTTTTCATAAGTAGTAAGAAACCTGTTGCTTTATGTTTTCTGCAATTATTCTGCAATATGGTGTCAAAAGTGACACCTGTATCAGCTGTTCTTGATGTGGACTTCATCCCTCCTACTATCAAGTACTTTAGCTTTCAAATAAAGCTTTTTAGGTTGTGCTTTCCTTCTTCTCTGTCAAAGTTATGAAAGAATTCTGAAAAATTGATTTTGTCTGGTGTATTCATCTTCCACCCTCCAAATGTTTCTCCAACACTCAATTATGTAGCCAGGAACAATTGTTTCAATGTATCAAACCTTAGTGCTTCAAAGCACGATTTCAACATATTTGAACATTAGATCTTCATTCAAACAGTGCCTACAGATATATGTGTTATACTTGGAAAAACACAAATAAATTTTACCTTTTTAATAATTTATTCAGCAAAAATATTAATAGATTTAATGGTGTACTGTAGAAAAAAGGAAGTACACTCTTGGTATAGGAAGTTGGTATTGCACCCTTTAGCAGATATTACTTCCTGTACTTCCTTGCATTACTCTCCACAGGTCTCTAAAATTATATTTTATTTTACCATTTCCCCATGGAAAATTCCTAAAATTGTTTTGAATGTTTAATTGCATGACCCGCCTATTTCAAGTCCCCACATAATATTTAATGGTTATTCAAATCAGAGCGTTAACTTGGCAGGTCCCTCACCCACCATTCCTTCTTTCTGAGCCATTCCTAGGTGAATTTGCCTGTGTGCTTTGGATCATTGTGTTGAAAGATCCATTTTGGTTCAGCTTTAACTGCATGCTGTCCAGGCCCTGAAGCAGCA